GTTTGGGGCGGGGCTAGTTTTTACCTTAAAGCCTGGAACCCCAGCTTAAAAGTAATACAGACAGGTTTCTGTTACCTCCCTTCTTCTCTAACACGTTCAAGTCCTGATGAGTTCTCAGGTAAAGAATCCTCAGAGGCCATACGCACTGACACTCTTGAGATGAGCCAATTTAAAGTCTATGATTCATACTTGCAAAACTTTTGCTGAGAATTAGTGACTGACAGAGTTGGAAAGGCCTTAAGGATCATCTCGTCTAAGTCACTTATGTTACAAATGGGGAAACTGAGTGACGGGGAAGAAAGGGATCTTGCACAAGATCACAGAGTATGTTAGAGACAGAGCTGGGATGAATTTCCCTCAAGTTATGTCATAGAATCTCTTTTTTGGGAACATCATAAGCTTTACTGCCATTTTTACCCTTCCTGTCATCCTGGTCTCATAATGAAAGACACTACTTGGCCTGTATCACTGTGGCCACAGAACAAAAGGAGCATAGGTGGGGAGTGTCAGTCCATCTGAATCTTCATTCATTTATCAAACGTTACTAAGCACCACTTCTTTGCCAAACACTGAGGATAGTGAGGGAGGCCCCCTGGTGGCACAGTAGTTAAAGCTCTTGGCTGCTAACTGAAAGGCCTGTGTTTTTGAACCCACCAGCCACTCTGAGGTTGAAAGGTGTGGCAGTCTGCTTCTGTAAAGATTACAGCCTTGGAAACCCTATGGGGCAGTTATACTCTGTCCTATAGGATCACTATGAATCTGATATGACTTGATGGCAGTGCGTTTGGGTTTTGAGGATACTGAGATAAGACATAGGCCCCATCTGCAAGGTGTTCAAAATTAAGTGTTGAAGACGGACAAGTTACCAATCTCCAGGAGAGCAGGCTATTTTCCATATGGTTAAATTAAACATTCCTTCTGTCTGCTGCCTGCATTTTATATTTATAGTTCTGATTATATTGACTCTCCTCCTGTATATAGAGTATTATGAGACTGATCTTCCCAGGAAGAAACATACCAAATACCATAACCTGATGAAGGCCAATGACAGAGTCTTTGAGTACCTACTTTATAGTGACTCATTCCCCTTCATTTATTCCAAAAAAAAAAAAAAAATTGGTTGAGCAACTAGTATGAGCCAGGCATCATACTAGGTACAGGGATGCAAAGATAAATGAAAGACAGTCCCTTCTCTCAGGAAACTAACAATGAAGTAGAGAAATAAATAATGATAATGGAAGTTTGTGCAGGGTGAGATGGATGCCTAGGAGAAAGGGTGTCCAAGTTTGCCTTGGAAAGTTTTCTAAGGCTTAATGGAGGAAATGGCGTGTGAGTTGAGACGACCTGAAGAAGGGAAAGAAGTTTGCTGAGCAGACAAAGGGGGAAGTCATTCTAGGAAAAGAAAATAGCCTGTGCAAAGCACGCAAATGTGAAAGCATACAAGCCCTGGAAACTGTAAAGTAGTTGATTATTGCTGGCATATGATGTGAAAAGAAAGATAGGCAGAATATGAAGACACGAGTAGGCAGGACTTCTTCCATGCTAAAGAGATGGGGCCAGTAGTGTCGCTAGGGGAGTGCGGAGGTTGCGGACTGCACTGGGTGGCACTGTCCAAATGACCAAAATAACTGCCTATAAAAATATCTCTGTAGTTAGTTATAACAACAAAAACATTTTTCGTAAGCCCAGCTTACATGTATCAATATACCTACAAGGCTGAAACTCCATGCTAATTTACTTTTTGAACCTTCTAATGAGCTCCAATCAGAGCTGTCATTATTACCCAATTACAATGACACTTTGAATCACATGGTTTCATCTGCACATGCTACGATATGCTATTGTTTTCATTGCTGCCAGTGTTTTTATAGTTGCTGATTTTGTCAAATTTTCTGGTGTTTTAGCTACAATATTTTGGTGATCAGTATTTGTGAACCTTTACCAGTTACTTTTTTGAGAATGAAGTAGTAATTAAAGGAAAAGAAGGATTGATATACGGGAATTACAATTTATGAGTAACATTAGTACAAAAAACATTACTAAGAACTCTGTATGGTCTGATACAGGACGAAGTCCATGGTGTGGGGGGTGACACAAGCCCTAGTGATGCCACTGGATGGGGCTACGTCCTGTAGACAATGGAGAACTGTTGAGGGTTTTAAGGAGAGGATCAGACAACGAGCTTTGTATTTCAGAAGCCTTACTCAGGCAGCAGTACAGAGGGCTTGGAGTCAGGGAGGCTGGGGAGGAAGCTGATCATTAATCCACTGATGAAGGCAGAAGCAGAGCCACTCTGAGCCAGGCCAGAACTTGATTTTCTGCATGATTCACCTATTTCCAGGCACACTTGAGCAACGGTGTTGACCATGAACCACAACCAAGAAGCATGAAGTTATGCATCTGAGTCTCCAAAACTCTGATTCATGGTCTTGAGACCATCCACTCCCCAGTCAGCTGGAACTAAACCAGATGTCACAAGCAATTCATGGAGAATCCAAGCTTTTTTGCTCAACAGAGAAACTGATACGTTGTTGAATTTCTAAAGGCACTTGGGGGGGGTGGTTTTTTTAATGACTCTTAATCCATTTTCCCATCATTAATACAACCTCACTTCTGAGCTTGTGGTTTTGGTAAATCTAGCAGTCTTTTCCAAAGAAGGCAGCCAGCCTGGCAAAGCGGCTGACCTCTCTTCAGTCCCTTATTTCAGTGCTTAGGATCACTGACTCAGTTCTCTCAAACTTTCATGCTTTTACTCTTTCTGTTCCTTCTCCTGAAATGTCTTCCATCCACTTGTCTGTCTGTCATTGTGCTTTGAAGTCTTGCAGATCCAGCTTCAAATTCCAGCTCAGCCATTCATTAGTCGTATGATCTTGTACAATTTACCTAAGTGCTCTGGCCTCAGAGAGCGGCCTTATTAAATGGTGGCCATAATCCTTATTGCTGAATTGTCGAAAGGGTTAGAGAAGTTTGTGAAGTTTTCAACACAATGTCCACCCCACAGCTAACAGTCAATATTCAGTAGCTATTATTGTTAGGTGAGGCTCTAGTTGAATAATTCACCCTGAAAGTTTGTAATTCTCCATTGAGAAGAACAAAATGAAGTACTGAACAGCTTCGTAATACATCTTTTGGTACCAGGATAATCCAGAAGCAGTCTTCTTACCCCAATTAATGAATCCTGACACCTGAGTACCCACATATCCAGCTATGTAATCCTAGAGTAAATTATAATGAAGAGTCAGCTGGCTAATAAAAGTCTTGGAACTTGAAATTAAGAGCAAAAGTACATAAAGAAGCTCTATGACAGGGGCAGAGCTGCTGATCCTCACGTCCTTTTCTCAGACAGAAGAGCTTGGTAGAAAAACAGCCATTTTAGTGGTGTGTGCTGCTGGAATAGTGCACAGGAAGAAGCTTTTCCTGGAAGTAGCAAGAGTGGTTTAGTTTCATTACAGTGAAAGAATTGTCCGATGTTAGGGCAGGTTACTGACAAAGGGTGTGGAATCTTTCTTAGGAGAAGGTTAAAAAAAAAAAGGAGTAATAATAAAGTATGTGATGAGATTACCCCTTCTGGTCTATTGCAAGTGTAGACCTGCCTAAAGCCTGCGAGAGGATTTATGTCTCAAGCCCATTGAAGGATTGAGGCCACTTGGGTAAATTCTTTAGAAGCTAGCTCAGTCTCGTCTAACAAGATTTTAAAGATTTTCCGGTGCTTTCCTCATTCTGACAGTCCTATATATTTTCAAGTTTAACTTGACATCTTTAATCAATTTGTGGTTAATTTGTTTTGTTTTAATTCTTATTTTTATTATGATAAACAATGACATTAAAGGGAAAATTTTTTTTAAATCATCCTTAATTTCTCTGTACTAATACAACTATTTTAATTTTGGAATGCTCTTTTTGGTTTTTATTTATCTACTTATTTCTTAATTAGCCATCAGAGTAAATCTGAAAGAGTTCTATTATTATGTCTGCTTTATTAATGAAGAAAATGAAGCATAAAGAGGTCAATTAGTATTGTCCTAGGTAACACATTTAGTAAATGGCTGAATCAAGAGTAAAAGTCAGAATGACTCCAAAACCTATGCTTTTTTCCCCTATATTTTACTGTGATATTGGGAATACAACCTAGCACATAATCGATATAAAACGAAAAAACCAAACCCATTGCAGTAGAGTTGAACTGCCCCCACAGGGTTTCCAAGGAGCGGCTGGTGGATTCGATCTGCCGACCTTTTGGATAGCAGCAGAGTTCTTAACCACTGCACCACCAGGGCTGCATAATCTATATAGGTAACATTATTTTGTGTGCTATGATGTTCATTTACTGTCAGTAATAATAATAGTCTGAAATTATGTCATCTGAAGCTCATCAACTAATCCTTAGAAAAAGCCACCAACAGTTTGTCAACTCTGAAGGAAAGGCTGTAGGAAGTTACTGAAAATGAGAGGAGAAAAATGGAATTAATGTGACTAATCAACAATAAACAAGATGACTTCATTTGAAAAAAAAGCTACAAATTTTAGATCTGGACCAACTAAGAGTCAGTTGCTGATCAGATTTTCCAAGTCACTTTTGGATAACTTGGCTAGAAAACCTTATAGCTCTTGTTAATAATCCCATTTAATGTCCCTGTGAATGAAATGTAGAATGAGGCACACAGGCAGCAAGTGCTAATGAATTGTCATTCATAGAAGGAGAAGAAAAAACAACTTCAGTTTACCTTATGTGAATAGCATAAAAAGAGATGTCGGCCTTTTCATCTGGGCATCAGTGTCATGTGGAAGATGGTGCCGTAGGATGAGCTCTACAGCCTTTTGAACTGCCAGTCATTTTCACTCATTTCTCTACCAGAATTCCAAACAGAAGGAGGCACACTTGGGGAAGTTTTGTTCAAACACACTGAAGGGAGGTCTGACCAAGAGGCTGCTCAGAACTCTAGTTTGGCTTGAAATAATCACAGCCACGGTGCTGATTGCATTAATTTGCTTTTCTTCAGGCAGAATGGGGAAACAGAATAGCAAACTGGCCCCCGAAGTGATGGAGGACCTGGTGAAGAGCACAGAGTTTAATGAGCATGAGCTCAAGCAATGGTACAAAGGATTTCTCAAGGACTGTCCAAGTGGGAGGCTGAACCTCGAGGAATTTCAGCAGCTCTACGTGAAGGTAGGTAGTTTCTCAACGTCTTTTTTCCTCAGGCCAGGAAAAGTTGCGTTCAAGAAGTGTAGCTTCACGTGGAATTATAACTCTAATCTGTTTTCAACTCTGATGGTTTTCTAACCAAAGGAGAAAAAATGGATATTAAAAAAAAATCAAATGTGTTTTGTTCCAGAGATAAATCAAGCAATTTTTGAACAGAAAGCGTAATTGTTAAATTGTTAAATCAAAACACAGTGCAGAGGATGGCAGCATCTGGTGAAAGTACTATAAAAATCTCAGATAATAGTGTTTGTTGATGATTATTGACAGGCTGCTAATGACAACATTGTTTGGCTGGTTAAGGAGCCGTGGTGGTACAGTGGTTAAGCACTTGGCCGCCAACCGAAAGGTCGGTGGTTCGAACCCACCAGCCACTCTGTGGGAGAAAGATGCGGCAGTCTGCTTCAGTGAAGATTTATAGCCTTGGAAGCCGTGTGGGGCAGTTCTACTCTGTCCTATAAGCTTGCTTTGAGTCGGAATCGACTCAACAGCAATGGGGTTTGGCTTGTTTAAGACATCTGTACCTCTGTCAGTTAAAGAGAAAGTACATGTGAGGGCCTTTTCACATGAAGTGTCCTTCCATCTGTAGATAAGAACTCAGAGTCCCACAACAGCTATTTGGAAGGGAGTTCTGGTATACACCTGGGCACCAATGTCTATAATACGAACTTTTAACTCAGTATTTTCTACCCTTTAGAACCTGACCTTTCCCTAGACATTAAATAGAACTGTGCCATAAAAGGTAAAATTTCTGTTTGTCTCAATGTATGAGCTGTACTGGTTCTAAATTTGGCATGATCTAAGACATTCCATTTTGTGTATATTTGTATAGTGTTATGCTTGTGGAAGAAACACATTTTTTTCTTTAACTTCTTCTGACTAAAGCTCAAAATAGAAAATATTGCCTTTATCATTTAATTGTAGCAACTTGTCAATTTGAACAAGAGGAACCATCATGTATGTGGGAGGAGAGGGGGTTGTGTAGAATATTAAACATTGTCATTATCTGTTAAAGTTGATCATTTCACACTCCCTGTGACCCAGCAATTTCACTCTTGCATATGTGCAAGAAAAGATATGTATAAGAATGTGCATTACTGCACTGTTTAAAATAGCAAAACTTGGAAATAACCCAAATGTCCATCAAAGGCATAGTGGAAAATAAACTGGTAAACCTCTTTAACAAATGGTGCTGGCAAAGCTGGATTTCCATTTGCAAAGAAATGAAACAGAATCCATACCTAGAGGCATAACTAGGGCATGGCAGGTATTGCACCAGCCCTCGGCACGTGGCACCACTGAGCAGTTACTATTAACCTGGTATGGCCAGCTGCGTATCTGCGGAAAATGGCGTCTATGGCAAGCACTGAAATTATGCCTTTGTCCAAACATCCGACACACCCCTTTTAGATAACTTTACCATAATATCAGCTCAAAAATACAAGTCAAGCCCATTAATCTTTTAATTAACACGTTACCATGCTTGAGGAAGGATATTGTGCTGTATCGAGTTAATAGAAACTACTCAATGGTGCCACGGGCCCAGGGCCAGTGAAATACCCTGTATATGTCACTGTCTATGCCTCATACCATACACAAAAGCTAATGTAAAATGAATAAAATACCTAAATGTTAAAACTATAAAGTTCCTGGAAGTTAACCTAGGGATAAAGCTAAAGATCCTCCTTTTGGACATAGATACACTATCAAACACAACTAAAAATGCATGAACAACAGAATATAGACTAGATAACTGGGACCTCCTAAAAATTAAGTACTTATGCTCATCAAAAGACTTTACCAAAAGAGTAAAAAGAGAACCTACAAACTGGGGAGAAAGAATTGTAACAGCATATCTGACAAAGATCTAATCTCTAAAATATATAGATAACTCCAACAACTCAACAACAAAAAGACAAACAATCCAATTAAAAAATGGGCAAAGGATAGGAAAAGACACTTCACCAAAGAGGACATTTAGGCGGCTAACAAACACATGAAGACATGCTCACAATCATTAGCCACTAGAGAGATGCAAATGAAAACTACAGTGAGATACTATCTCACCCCTGCAAAAATGGCAATGATCAAAAAAACAGAAAACCACAAATGCTGGTGAGGTTGTGGGGAAACTGGAACTGTTATACACTGCTGGTGGGACTGTAAGATGGTATCACTATGGAAAATGGTATGGTGCTTCCTAAAAAGCTAGAAATAGAAATACCTTATGATCCAGCAATCCCACTCCTAGGTATATATCCTAGAGACATAAGAGCTGTGACCCAAATAGACATATGCACACCCGTGTTCATTGCAGCATTGTTCACAATAGCAAAGAGATGGAAACAACCTAAGTGCCCAGCAATGGATCAATGGATAAACAAATTGTGGTAGATACACACAGTGGAATACTACCCAATGATCAAGAATAATGATGAGTCTGTGAAACATAACATGGATGAATCTGGAAAACATTATACTGAGTGAAATAAGTCAAACACACAAGGACAAATATGGCATGATATCATTTTTATAAAAAGTCAAAAATAGGTATACACACAGAGGGCAACATTCTTTAATGGTTACCAGGGAGGAGGGGAAGGGAGTGGGAATCACTTATTAGCTAGTAAACCTGTTGCCGTAGAGTTGATTCCGACTAACAGCAACCTTATAGGACAGGGTAGAACAGCCCCATAGGGTTTCCAATGAGTGGCTGGTGGATTCCAACTGCCAACCTTTTTTGCTTAGCAGCAGAGCTCTTAACCACGAGGACTCCTACTAGATAGTAGACAAGTGTTAATTCTGGTGATGGGAAAGGCAATACACAATATGGGAAAAGTCAGCACAATTTGACCAAGGTAAATGAAGACGCTGAGAGGTAAACAAGAATAAAGGACTCCCATGGTAAATGCTATAACATATACAATTCAGCAACAACAGTAATAACAAGCAAAAAATATGTACATATGTAGATATATGTGTTGGAAGACGTATGGGAGTAATGTGTGTGCATATATAGGTGTATTTGTGGGCATATGTATATACGTGTTTCTATGTGCTGCATATGTATTCATACATACAATAACGTACAGAGGGAACATAGCTATGGATACTTCCTAGACGTACCCAAACACCTTGTGGGATTTCTTTACTGGGTTTGAAGGCTCGGGACCATAGTCTTGTGGGACAACTAGGTCAATTGGCATAACTTAGTTTGGTGAGTAGTTTCTGAGATCTTAAAAGCTTGCAAACGGCCATCTAAGATGCAACTGGAGCAAAGGAGAGTGAAGGGAACCAAAGACTCAAGGAAGAAATTAATCCACAGGACTCATGACTAGAGCAAACCACAGCCTCTTCTAACCCGAGACCAGAAGATCTAGACAGTGCCCCGCTACCGCTACTGACGTTCTGACCAGAGACACAATAGAAGGTCTTGGTTAGAATGGAGAAAAATGTAGAACAAAAATCAAATTCATAAAAAAAGACCAACTTACTGGACTGATAGAGACTAGAGGAACCCCTGAGACTATTGCCCTAAGACACCTTTTCAACGTGGAACTGAAGCTACTCCCAGAGGTCACCTTTCAGCCAAATAATAGATTACCTATAAAATAAACAATAACACTCGTGAAGAATGTGCTCCTTTAAACGATCAACTATATGAGACCAAACAGCCAACATTCACACAAAAGCAAAGATAAGAAGGCAAGGGGGGCAGGGGAACTGGATGGATGGAAACGGGGCAGGTGGGGTGGAAATAGTGAGAGTACTGACACATTTCAGGGAGCAATTTGTGTATGAATTGTTGAATAGTAGTAACAATAAAACATTACGGGCAAAATAAGTATGCCAAAATATCTTAAATACAAATAAAATAAAAATATGCATTATGGGACTACAAATAAATGCAATAAAATCATACAAAGATAAAAACAAGGCAGTGATGCACATAAATTTAGACTGGTGGCTGCTCCTGGTGGGGAAGAGGCAGAGGATGGAATGGGGTGCAGCCACGTGGTTAGATACGATTATTGTCGAAGTCATAGCTGTGCTTTGAGTGGTAGGTTTTCAGGTGCTTAGCTAACCAACCAACCAAATAAATGAATAAATGAGCCGGCTTTGTATGGACCACTAATGAGTGTCTGGGACCCACAATGATGATTAATCCAATGCTGTGCACCTGAGATCCCCCACAGATGTGTATACAAAACTATATTCTTAAATGTGTGCAGAAAGGCACATAGATAGTTGCATTATGCGTTTTATAAAATCACCATGATATTTCTAAGAAGATCTGAAGAATTAGTTATTAGCGTGTAGGTATCTTTTCTATAGAAGTGCTAAGAAATGCATCTATTACTCAGTGCATATAAATTGCTTGTGCAGAGAAGTGGGGTAGTATGTATTTCCCAGATTATTAAACCACTCTCCATAGTTTTCAAAGTCACATCTTCTGCCATTGTATCACCCAGAAGTCAGCCTGTGCCTCAAAACTGTCTTCGCTCTCAGCCCCTAGGACAACAGAAACAAATGAAATTTGTCAGTGCCACGTTGATATTGCTAAAGGTCATGCAAGCTGTCACCCCGTGTTTAAGAGAGTTCTGTGTGCTGAATGCCTCACTTTTTGTTTAAAATGAGAGGAATTTGCCTTTGAAGAAAGACTTGAAACACAGAAATGATGTATTCATGTACATAATGGAAATATTAGCACTGCAAGAGCACCGGTCTCAAGATGGGGACCACATAAACACTAAACGTGGCTTAGCGCTTTATGTCACAACTGATGGAATGCACCAAAAGCATCCCTCACCTCCCCAGCCCACCCCAGAAATGAATTTTGTTTTGTTTCAGGAAGGGGATATATGACTTCCTGGATTTAGTTTATATTCTTGGCAGCCTCTTATTTCAGCCTCTTAGCAACCATATTCATACTTGGCGTGTGCTCTTGTATCCAATAGTCAGAAAGC